AGGTCACAAAAAAATTTATGATTCAGTTTAATTTTGTGAAAATAGATATCACAATTTTTATATGCAAATCTGGTGATTTAACTTTGTATGGATAGAAATATAAGTTTTATAGGTTTATCTGCATGTAAGGATATTCCATACCTAAAAGTAATGTGATTCCACATTGTTTAAAAGAAACATTTTAATCCCTATTTCAGCTAAACTTCTCAACATGACCCCCTATAGTAAACTTCCCACAGCCCCTCTAACACAGGAGGGGTTTGAACTGCTGGGGATAAAATGGCTGCCAAGCCTCAGTATCAACCAGGCCAAAGAGTTGACGCCATATGAAGTGGGGGATAAACAGTGGAAGAAAAGTATTCATACTCTGACCTCAGGTATCTGTTGATTTTTTTCTCCAATGTATCTCGCTACATATTTTCCTCCCTTTGCCTTGTAAAAAAATGCTTAAAACATTTGTGCAAGTCTTTCATTAACTAAAATACTTGTTTGGATATTTTGTTTGTGGCATGATGCATTGGGGTATTGCTGAACCACAAATTGCATTGTATATTCATTCTCCATTGACATACATTCTATTGTAACCATAACTCAAAATGCTAAATTTTTTGCCTGAAAAATTTTGAAACATTTGAATTATCATTAAAAACTGTGATTATCAATAAAAATAAATAATTGTATTATTCCATCAGAACCTGCAGTAGTCCTGCTGTTACGAGGCATCAACGCCTTCAAGAGGGTCTCCTCCATTATCAGCTCAAAGACGCAGCAGACAACAGCTACTGGGGGGCAGCAGCTGTCCCTGGAGAAGCTGATGTCACCGACACCAGAGATAGCATACAGACAGATGACACTGTTCTTCAGGGATTTAGAGCTGTTTCCTGACCCTCACGCTCGTCCTTTGTTACACTTCATGCCCCCTGTTAGACAGTCTGATGAAAGGTAGGCCTCAGGGCAGAGTCAGTTAGAAGTGATTAGAAGAGAAATAGATTGATGGGAATTTACTTTGACAATAGACTGGATGGGTGCATTTGACAATTTTACGTGGAAGGAGTCATTTCTAGAGTCCATAAGGTTATAGCTGCTATAAAGTTATTATCTTTAAGTTAGCAATATAATTCTAGCCAGTGAATTTTGTACAATATGTTATACATAAAGACAGTAAGAAAATTATTTTGGCAGTGTATTTGATGTTTAAACTGTACCTAGAGGTTATATGCTGGTCTGATCCTGCCATTTAATCACCATCTTAGTTTCAGTCTTGCTCACATAACCTTGATAAAGCTTTAGACGCCAATCATATGGAGGAACACTCAAACCAGACTGCTTCACAAACTTAATTCTCTAAGATTAGTGGGATCTTCTTATTTTATATAAGACCACCTCGTTTATTGAAATCTTGCGTCAGTTCTGGGATAATGCATTATCTTTCAGCCAAACACGAAGAAGACGGCAACTCAAGCCAGACTGGGCAGCCAACTTCATAGAGGAGTCCGTATTCCGCACCATGCTGGCTGGACCGCGTCTCCTGACCAGTGTCCTCATCTTCAAGCCGGACGCCGTGAGGAAACACCTGAGTAAGGTGTTCAGGAAGGTGACCCATGAGAGGTTCACTGTTGTGGGGCTGAAGATGAAAGTGTTGACCACGGAGGAGGCATGGGGGATGGTGCCGCAGTATGAAGATGTGAGTAGTAGTATGGGCAAGATTCCAGTATGGCCAGTGGGTGACAGAGTGGCCAAATTTAGTCGCTAAACAGGTCTTAAAACTCAAAGTAAAATGTACTGATTCAGAAATAATTAAAGTTGGCATTTTGAGTACAATACCTGCTTGTAATATTTTTTTTACTCTCATATTTTCAGTTTACATGTTGATTTACTGTTTTCCATTATTATTTTCTTTCTTCACCTCACTGTATTGACCAAGATGTAGCGCTTTGTAGCGCTATGTAGCGCTTTGTTGAATGCATATTCTAACAATCTTGCAATCAAAAGTGAGCTTTTGAAACAACATAAGACCATGTAACCATAATATGAAAAAAAAAGTCAGCGTCAGTGATACATTACAAGAATAAATTGTCCTTTCAGAATGATATAGTTCGCCAGATGCATGTTGATCACATGACCTCAGGCCCCTCCCTCATTCTGTGTGTTCAACGTGAAAATGCCGTCAAGAAACTCTTGGATGTGATTGGTGCAGAAGACCCCCAGCAGGCACGGCGGCAGAGCATCTTTAATTGGAGAGGGACATTTGGGGTTGACCCTGTTTGTAATGGTATATATGGTAAGGAAATGAAGCAGTTAATATGAATTGAAAAGTAATGCATTAAAAGTTTAATGGTTTTGAGGGAGGGGGGGGGCAAAAGGGGTATTTTTAGATATTAAGCAGCATATGGCTTTAAAAATTTTAAGATTGAGATTTTTTTGTGTTCAACATTCAGTGAGATTTTGATTGGAATCAGTACCAGTACTAGAAAATACATTGATTTTTTTTTCTTTATCTATAGCTTCAAAAGACTATCAGCATGCCATGCACGATGTCAAGCTGTTCTTCCCAGAGGGTTTGTGTTGTTCTGAGACTCCAGATCTTAAAGCAGATGAGGTATGAGGTTCAGAAGAATCATAACACTCTACATTTCTTAGACACTTTTCTTTACTTCATTTACTTTGCCTTTTCATTTTTCATGATTTTTTTTTCACAATCACATCTAAAGTTATAATATAAATGAAAAATATGAGAGATTATTCATTCTTGGTAATATATACAGTATGATTACTTGGTTTACTTCCGTCTTAAATTATTTTTTTGTTTGTTTTGTTTTTTAACAGTACATCATTTGTTGTATTGGTAAGATGTATATGAATCACTGTAATGCTATTTGGTAGCATGTAAGTATTAAGGAATTACTGAAATGAACTGCAGCACCAGAATTCTGTTCTTCAGGTTAGCTGCCCAGCGGTCAATGTGGGCGTGGGCATCAAACTGGACAAGACCAGAGAGGTCACCTTCAGGGATCCCAACTCTGCTGTAGGAGAATTGTATGAGGCACAAGACGCAGGGATCAAGAAAAACACAGGTAAACTAGTTTTTCAGAAGCATATAAATAATGTGGTTCTCATGATTAAAATAGAACAAACTTCAGAGGGAACATTATTTCTGCTGGAGTCATGTTATTTAATCAGGTCATCTGGGCATGTTAGTTTGGTGTCACTCAGAACAAAAGGTTAAAGAGACTGCATTTTGTCTTCAATCTTAGAAGTTTTTTTAATGGATAACATATTATATATTAATGTCTCTAAATCATGGAACATAAGCTAGAAATGATGTGAAAATGTAAATTCGCGGGGCATTACTGAGTTGGGAACTTAACAATGTCTTAATGATAATAAAAAGTTGTCTCCAGATGAAGTCAGGATCCCAGCAGTAAAGACTAGCCACTTCACTTGTCACATTCTGGTCTAAGTTAGTCTTGATGTGAGTCATGAACACTATTTTCTCCCATATTTAATTCAGGCACTACGCCAGCAGTCCAGGTCAGCCACATCACCATGTTAACTCAGACCAACTGTGTGGTCCTGACCCCAGCTGTGATGAAGACAGAGAGGAGGAGCAGTGTGCCAGCCTATGTGTATATTGTGGAGGAGATGTTAAAACATGGGTCAGTTAACTGGTCACTGTGTGGAAAGATGGTCTGAACTTTAAAGTCATAATAACTCTTCGTTTTGGCCAAAAATTGGATTTTCCTGGCGTAAACGGCAATTTTCCCGTACTTACCAATGGTCAACGACCCCATTCCTGCATTCAAAGTTAGTCCAGGGTTTTTTCCTAAACGCTTGGTTTTTTGTTAAAATCTCTTAAGAGATTTTAACTGACGGAGCCCTCTCTGACATTGAATAGCCACGCGATATCGAGCGGGGTTTTCTGATGACCTACTTAAAACCGCGGGAAAAGCAGACAACATCAACACTTTATTACAATAAAATAAGATTCATACGATATAATCGTCTTATTGCTCAGAATGCATTTATATCTACAATGTGTGCAGTTCTGGGCTTTTCGTTATCCGACACACTGTACAAAAACTCACAACTTACGTCTGAGGATTGTGTCATGCACCTGCTATATCTTATCCCGCCACATGTTATTTTGGTCTCGAATGCACGCGAGAATCCGCGTGATGCGCCAACATCCTTGGCAACGGATGTCTTGACGACCGGGAAGAAAGGCACCAAAAGCCCTATTGACAAGCACAGTTTTTAGTTTTAATACAATAACAGCCGTTTTAGTGGTGAAATGCAATATAATATATTTCCATGTGTTGTTTAGAATGTATTTCTTGCGGCATTTTGAATCTCAAAGGAAGAGTTATTATTGCTTTAAGGACCCATTCTCATAGCCACCATCAGTGTATGTAGATTGATCCCAAAACCGTCGTTTTTTTTTTTTTTTTCAACTTTAAAGTTTCAAAATAAGTAATATTTAGCCAGGCTTTGTGTTAAGAGATGAAAGATGTTGATCAAAATGTTTTTGATAAATCTGAATTAAGTTTTGATTCAGTATTGTTGTTGATGGAACTGTCCCCATGAACAAGGTGTGTTGGAATATTTCAGGTTTGAGGTGTGTGGGGCTCAGTTGTTATGGTTCACACAGGACCAGGCTCAGCAATATCTCCATATCTGTGATGCTGGCAGCTATAAGCTGGTGAGTATGTGTGTGTTCATGCATGTTCATGTGTGTGTGTGTTTGTGTGTGTGTGTGTGTGTGAGTGTGTTTTCTGTTTATTGAATATGTGTGCATATACATGTATGTTTGTCTGTTTACATATGTATTTTATTTGTGTAATTAACAAATAAAATAATTATAAGATCGCTGCACCAGTGAATTCATTATCCTTTTAAATTGAAAACTTTCCACAACACAGATTGATTACTGAGTTAGTCTCATTGGTTACTCAGAAAGTACTTGTCTCAAATATTATATATATTACATTATATCTGCTCCAGGTTCCTATGTTGACATCAGGTCCTAGTCTAGTATTAGCTGTACAGAGAGACAATGCTGTGATGGCTTTTGATGTGTTATTGGGAGGGTAAGGACGACAATGTTTTGTAGGCCCTAGAGAAATTTAAAAATATTATAACTAGGAGACCATTCCCACTGATATTTAGATCGATAACCCCCCTGGAGAGTCTCACTAGATTGCTGTCAGCTTAATAGGCTTTAATGTCTGCCCCGCCTACTAAAAGATTTAAGTAGATAATTAACTTTTTTGCGCACTCGGCTCCCGGAAGCTGGCAGCAATTTAGCGCGAACCCCCAGGTAATTAGGTCGATCCAGATGGATTGATATAAATCTGTGGGAACCCAGTCTAGGAGTCCTAGATGAAGAAGCATTAAAATTATGCTTTTCACTATTAACTTTTGCTGCTTAATATTGAAATTCAGTGATATTGATTGATTCCAACAATAAGATTTAATTTTTTTTCATTTCTGCCCCATCTGTGTTCTCTTAATAAATTGATAAATACATTATTTTATGTAAGTTATGTTATTTTTTCCCCAGTCCATATACCTCAGAGTCCATATACAAGAAGTATGGAGAATTTATTATGAGACCCAAGGACACTAGTCAGGTATAATTATTTATTCAGTAAGAAATATTAAAGAAATTAATTTTCGGAGGGTTTCTGGATTTTGGGTAAAATAATCTAAAATTAGAGAGAATTGCAGTTGAGGTTTTCTAATTCTTTAAGAATCACTGTTCCCATTCTGGAGAAAAAATTGTGACAAGTTTATGTAGGTTACAAGTGATATAGTTGAATTAGACAATTTAATAATATTTGACTTTTACTTTTGAATGAGCAACATCAGGTCATTGTGTATTTTTTGATAGGAAAATTGTAAATATTAAAAATAAAATAATAAATGGATAATAATAGACACTGATTTGTCTTATGCACTATAATATTCATAGTCCCAGATTATTTTGGCAGAATGCAAGTAACACTTAGTCTTACCAGTACAATGTAGATAATAAATAACATCTTGAGATGATAATTATTCCTGCAGGTTTCCAAACACCTTGCCTTCTTCTTTGACCATCTCATGCCTGGGTGCCATGCCATCATCAGGGAGGTTTGATTTCATAGACAGATTTTTGGAGAAAATTATAAGAGGTAGGTTCAAGTCTGTCATCTTGTTTTGGTCTATTTTATCTCATTTTATTTTTTGCATGTTTGTTAATTGATTTAAGATTGTGCATCTCACGACTATTTGTTTTTATTGTAAAATCCAACTTTTTAAGTTGCAAATAAATACATATTATTATTATTATTATTATTTGAATTTTTAATTTTAGTTGACTTAAACAGAAGTAGATAATAAATAAGAGTTTTCTGTAGCCTACCACATTGATTCATACACATGAAATCACTTTCTTACCCATACAGATATATCACTGCATTTGTTTTCTAATTCAAGTAGTGTATGCTCCCAAGATGTCATATGCTTAAAAATCATCATCGTTATACTGTACATAAAAATAATCTTTACATGTGATTCTTGTAGTGATAGACTAAAACAAATAAAAAAATCTAAATGTCCATTTAGATAAAAAGTACCTTTGATTATACCTTGATCAAGATTATATTTAGATGTATTGATCTTGCATTATGGCACCCAGGGGGTAATATATATTTATTATTTCATCCTGCAGAATGGCTGTAAACATATCTGTTATAGATTTTGTTATTGGATTGAGTACCAAGGGATCAGTTATTTCCAATGTGTATTTTCAGATAGGTCACAGATAGGATCAGGAACTTTTGATTTCAAACATTATGTGTTCACAATGGGTATAAACTTGGTGCCCAGGTCACTTCCAATCTGCCACCAGAGCCATTACACATAGCAAATAACATGAACTACAGGTCCCATAGGATTTATATACACACCAATGCAGGTCCTAAATGATTGATGCAATTGAAATTGATATCACAATTCTCAAAGCAGTGATTCACATCAGTACAGGCCCTGTAGGAATAATAAACAAATAAATAAATAATAATCAACAGGTCCTACAAAACTGACATATTTGTACATACAGGTATAAGGGTAATTATAGGTGTAGTGGTTAGTAAACGAGTCTTCTCTAACTTAAAATAAATACATTTAAACACTGGTCATAGGATTGATTACAAATATCGTAGTTTCAAAAGACAAGACAGTTATTTCTTATCTCTTAATTATATATATATATATATTTTATGATTGTGATGTAGTAGTACAAACATAAACGTACACGCACATGCACACACGCACACACACACACACACTCTTTATTTAGAAAAACTAATGGAGCCCTTATCATTGATGCTACATAGAATAAAAAAATTGTTGAGTATCCCACTGAGAGAATCCTAGATAGCCAGCCCTATGATTTGTCTTTGTCAATAAATCAAGAAATTATTATTATTGTAATTATATTTTCTTTTAACAATGTCCATATACTGCTATTTGTTTCTTTTCCTGCCAAGGGAGATGCCGTGCACAGTTCAGTAAAGGGCACAAGATCACCAGGAAATTGCCTAGAAAATTTTATGGAGCTGTTCAATATTCCTGGAAATGGATATTTTTTTCTCCTGGATTTCTCAAATGCACAATTCTAGCACAAAATGGGGAAAAAAGCATTGAAGTGAAAAACTGCTCATGAAAGAGAATTTTCTGTATTCTTGATACATGAACTTTGAAATAATGATTTGTTGCATTAAATGCTGAAGGAGTACAGAAATTGAGTGAAATGTGAAATAATTTCTAGTTCACTGGTTTGGTACACATATTGATAGATTCTCTACACAAAAGGAGCTTTTATTGGATAATTGTCATTAAAAATGTACTGATTTGCTGAAGTGGAAACCCATTATGAAGTTGATTATTGTTTATATGTATATTGGAAAAAAACTTGAGAAACACAGCTAAACATTTAATAGCAAAAGAATTTTTTATTTGTCCTGTGGCGAGAAGTCAGCGTGTTCAGCGAAGTGGAAAATGGGCACCGGAACAAAATCTAAAAATAGGCGCTGAGATCAAAATCTATCCCAGAGATCAAGGGGACGACAAGAATGGCTGTTCATTCAGACGAATCCACTTTACCTTGAAATGATGGCCTGGGTGATGCAATTGTATACATTGTGATGACAACAACCAGTGGAGTAGAAAATTGCAATCGAAACACATTTTCACCAACCTGAAAGTGGCTGTGAATAAGGACTGCTCAAGGCTGAAAAATATTACCAGTACCAAGAGCAATGATTTGCTTGAGTCTGTGAACCTTAGGTGGTTTGAATAGAGGGTGAACCCTTAGGCCAAAAAACAGGACAGCAAAAGTCACTTGAGTCTTTCTATATACTCAGCTGAAATGGTGAATGGTAACCGTGAGTTTTGTTGATAGTGATAATAGTGTGATTTCCCCTAGGCCAGAAGAACAGAGAAATCAACTTTGAAAGCAGGAAAACTACATAAACTGGTCATTGTGTACAAGGCTATTCATATCTCTGTTTGGTTGAATGTATATGTTGGTTTGAATTCTGGGGAGTTTTCTCTGTAACAGTGTGTTAGTATGGAGAAAGATGACTTCTTTTTTGTTATCAAATTTGAAAAAGGAATACTTTTCTGCTTGTAATGTGATATTTTCTGGCAAAGATAAAGTGGAAATTTTTGCTTGTTTTTGAAAATGTTCTGCACTTCAGGTCAATATTTTATTGCCCATAATTTCCCATATTTTCATGGGGTCAGCAATCATTCCAACAACCCATATCAAGCTCAAAGTGAATTGTTAACTTTATGCTATGATATTTCTGGTGTATTACTCATTTATTCACCAAGAAACAGTTTTTTAAGATTCTTAGATTTTTTGATTAAACAGAATCTGGTTTAAAAGGTGGTGAAACTGCAGTCTAACAATTCTTGATGAAGATACAGCAAAGTTAAGCAGATATCTTAGTAGAATAAATCTGATAAAATTTTCTTATTTAGTCTTTTGATAATAATTTCTAATATGTCATCTTGTATGTGATAACACTTGAATCCATGTTTATGTTTCTGAGGCTTTATTTACCTCAAGATAGAGCACCCCAGATCCATCACATCTTCAGAAAGGACCTTGCAAAAAGTAATATGTGGTAATTTTAGAGTAATACTTTGTATTGCAAATGACAGGTTTAATATCTGTACTGTCTAATCACTGTACGATTAGAACACCAAAATATCTGATTAATAACATGTAGATGGAAAAGTAGCATTTGCTCTTTGATAGTTTCAGATAATTTTTTATGAAAGGTGTTTTTCAGGCTCGTAACTCGGTAGTGTGCTTTTGGACCTATAAAGAAATGTTCTTTGTCAAAATAACAAAAAAATAGCAATAGCATGTGCCTGTAATGCCCCAGTCATTCAATGAAATACACTTGTTTGTATGTTTTAAATTATGTCAAGATCTGCACAATTATGTGTCATTAGATGGGTATAGTATTTTTTGACTGACTGACAGTCAGCCCGATTGTAAATGATAGATTTTAACAGGGAATAGTTTTGTAGATTTTTGGTTAAAACATCTCACTGTTTGCAGTTTTGATGACAAGATGGAAAAAATCCAGCTTTAGTCTTTAGTTATGTCTTTAGAATTATACATTTTTAGCCTTTTAGGTGTTGATTTTATTTATTTATTTATTTTTTAAAAACCGTACTTCTTTTGAGGTAAACATCTTTAAGTGGTATACCTGCTTAGAAGGTTTATCTGTTACAATAGCCAAATATTCATATTTTGTGTTATGTAGGGAAAGATATGGTTAAGTGCGTAAAATATAGATTTTTATATAAAGAGGAGTTTATAATCACAGTTTATGTGTATGTATTTTCTATAAATTCTGTATATAGCACTGCTGTATTTTGGTGAACTTGTTTGATTATTTGACTATTTACTGTGATATGTACATCGTTAGTTTAGGGTTATGAATTGTTGCATGTTGTATTGAAAGTTTATTTTGTGACATGCAGAGATGTTGAAAGGACCACATTTTGCTGTTGTGGAGAAATTTAAAAACTTGGTTGAATAAAAGAAGAATTAAGTGAATTATTTGGAAGGGTTCTTTGCTCTCTCTCTCTCTCTCTCTCCCTCTCTCTCTCTCTCATTTCTACTCGTGACCATTTGCAGGGGATATACGAAGATATAGAGCTTCAGTTACATGTACAAATGATGAATATTATTTTACCTGAAAATGTGTAAAAATACTTGGCCCATTTGATCTCGTCCGTCCCCCCCCCCCCCATATCAACCTTTTCCCAAGAGCGTGCTTCCGATGTACCCAACCAACTTTAAAATGCCCTCAGATAGTGACAGACCTCGGATACTCCACTCCATTACCGACTGTAGTCCCCGCCGCCTTTCACGCCCCTTGAATACTGCTCTCGTTCTTCCTCCGAGGGATGGGATCAATATTCCTAGGCATCAAGTGTTCATTACTGACACGTTCGATACCTCTTAAGCGTTGCCAAGTGCCTTGGCTACGTGTGTTTACATGAGTAAAACGATGTTGACGACGAGTTGTCGTGTATTGACTTCGCGCAAAGTGGAAGAGAGAAGAGTTTGAAGTTGGATTGTGTACTTGTGAGGGAAGAATGAATCAGTGCGTTCTCATTACTGTGCTGTTCTTTTTGTTAGGGCATCGATGCATCCTTCTTTCATTCCTTATCTCTCTCTCTCTCTCTCTCTCTCTCTCTCTCTCTCTCTCACGCACACACACACACGACGCTCTCTTTCTCCTCTCCCTCTCTCTCTCTCTCGCACGCGCGCGCGTGTGCACACACAGCCCTTTTTTATCAAAATATTAGCCGACGCTTTATGGACTATCGCGTACCCAAAAAGATCAAGTCAATGTGAAAATTGCCATTAAAAAGTCGTACTTCTCTTTTTGTTTGTTCTCACATTTCTACACTTGGGGATCAATATAATCAAGGACTTTAATTTCCTAGCACATGATTTGCGCTGTTGTTAAAACCCGTGTTCTTTTTTCCTTTTGTTGACAATTTTTTGTCGGACAGAAAGTGCTACTCGCAATCAAATTTCCAACGAAGGGGGGTTTCAAAAGGCGCTTTGTGTTTCACATTTTGTCTATAAGGGTCCAAACTTAAATGACCGCTATAATGTGGTCAGTTGGAGCGTCGACTAGCCTTTTTATCAAAACAGTGACACCAAGGGGTAATAAAAATTTAGTTTGTTGTTGATAGCCATTTCATCAAAAAAAGTCAATTCAACCTACCAAATAAATATTCATTCAGTTAAAAACATAATCAATAAAACAAACATTTAAATAAATAACTAACATCCAAATACTAATTTTAAAAAGGCACTTTTATTGGTCGTCTAGGCACTTAGGAAATTGCTTGTTGGTAAAGATTAGAAAAGTATCAAGTTCGTCCAATAAAGGAAGTTGGTCAATTTAGTGGGATTTTAAAGACACGGTCATAAGGATTACGTGACTATAACGAATAAAAAGTGAGATTTTTAACGATCTACCTCGCTCCTTTCTGTTATTCACGGCGCTTCAGAATGCGAAATTAAAATGCCGGCGTTGCGTCAACCCCAATGACGTCACCAAGGAAGCAGGTGACACGTCAGATGTGTGATTGTCAGGGATTTTAACAGGTGTCAACCGCAGTCTTGAGGCCCAGTCTTCACGGACGCGTGCCCATTGACATCTTACATTACGCGAAAATGACCGTAAATAATGCAGGGGACTTCGAGTTCAAAACTGGACGTTGTGTTTAGTTTTGTGTGTGTGGAGAGAGCGCGCACCCTGTCACTCGAAGGCGCAGACGACTTTTGGTAACAAGGCGTGTTTTCGTTGAATTTCTGAACAAATATAACTTGGTGAAATTCTTTGAACTTTTCTATAAATATTTCTATATTTTCTATTTCTGTGCTTTTAATATCTGTCCTTAATACTTTTTATTTTCTATCCCAGTAAAGTAATATTGATAAGAGAGGAAAAACATCCCCAAAGAGTAAGTATAAAGATAGTAAATCCCCCTAGGAATCAAGCACCAAAGATAGGCCTCCCATCCCCTCCCCCTCCCCTTCCCGTCTACCACGTTTTGCCCATGAGGGCCCTAATGTTATTTTAGGTACACAGCCCCGAACGTGTCTTCTGTGTCACCTGCTTGTGACGGCTTTGTCATCAAATAGAAGCTGCGACAACGACACTAGATTTAATCGCGCGTTAAGTCAACAATCTATGGAGTGCTCTTCAATGATCTGTAAACACTAGATTTGTTTGCCGATCAGAATCTTTCAAAGACACGGGCATATGGCGGAGAAATGACTGAGTGTCGCGTAGGACAAATTTCGTACACTAACATAACATACCGTGTATCAGACGAGATGGAATATGCATTGAAAAGGAGGGCTGGGGATTTTAAACGTCAGTTTTAGTCCGTTTTTTACCTTAAAAAGTATCACTCTTAATTTAGTCAAAATGATATTAAATGAACAATTTTCTAACTTTAACGCTATTGAATAAATGTTATGAAGTTTAACAACCAAAAATAACTTGTGGTCTAATTTTGTTTGATTTTTAATTTTACTGTGCACTTCTTGCATCGTTAATTTTATTTCTTAATGAAATTACAGATACAAGAAGTGACCTACAACAAAATCATCAAGGCGAACAATTTTCCATTCTTAAATATCATGCAGATCAGTGATATTCCATGATGTTACGAAACCATTAATAAGACTGGCTTTGTTCTCCCGTCCCTCTCGTCGCATTACGTGGAGAGCGCTCGAAATCAGCCTTTTGATAACAAGAGTTGTAGGAACAAACACAGGTGGTTGATATTCCGCATGCGGCACGTGCCGCTCTTTGTCTAACTGTCGTCTGCCTCTGTTTTGAAAGCCCGTTCCTATTTTTAGTATATTTCACAAAGAATTTCCTGTCGGTGAAATTTTAGTCCGTTTCGTATTTGAGTTTAGAAACATTCTTTTTGATTGGGTTTATTTATACTAAAAAAAGGACAATAAAGTTTTGAATAAATCGTACAAATGTATGTGTATGCTGTATAGGAAGTCAGTTTTCAGCCTGGCATAATTAACAATAATATTCTATGGACTGGATGTTGATGCTCATTTTTAAATAATATATTATAATACATTCATAAATATTTTCCTGTCATTGACCAAAGCAAATTGAATTTCTTTATCATGTGAATGTGAAACTAACATGGTTGAATTCTTCTGGCAAGGAGAAAGGAGTAATCACGCTTTGCTTTCATTTTTGGTGTTTTGTCACCAAAGGTTTTTAGTTAATCTATTTCTCAGATACAGAATCTCAATACAACTACTGCCCACTATCCTTGAAAAGTGTCATAGGACGATAATATATTACTTCAGTATCCTTAATCATGAAATCGATTATACAAACGACCGACAGAGTTTACCTGTTTCATTACCTTGGACTGTGTTTCTAATTAAAATTACTGTTTTTTCTTTCTTGCCTCCAAACGTAAATCATATTGGTCCTTTGCTGGATCTATGCTGTTGTATTATGACCAAGGCAAATCCAACAATCTTTACAGAAAACATTTATCGTAATAGTGCATTACCAAAAATAATGTTATTCCTTCTTACGAAGAAACGATAACATTTAAGGAATCACAATTTGAAAGGTACGTTGCTTCAAAGCTCAGTCTTGGTGAGACCTTGGTCTTAATTAAGTTGATAATTCTCCTCGGGGTGAATTATTCTAAATTGTTTCTAAAGCAGAAATTATGCTGTGACAGCTGGGCGTATCAACAGTTCTAACCTTGTTTAATTGATTGTTCTTGAGCTTGATAACAGTGATAACAAAATAATTATCAAATGTTCCAATGATACTGTTGCCATAATAATAATAATAATAATTTCAAGAATATTATGTTTTAGTCTTAATTTGATTTATCTGAATATAATTAATCAATTATTTAATTAATTAATTATCAAAGCACCCTCTAACATAAGACCGAATGAAATATTTATATATTCATTTGGTTCACTATATTTTGCCAAGTTTGAAATTCTTCACATCTTACAAGATGAAATAATTATCTATTAGGCCTACTTACTCTTTTTTCTTTCTTTAATTTTCCCTTTTTATTGTCACAACTGTAATTAAATAAGTTAAGATTCTCCTCCACCCAAACAATCACAATAAAAATGTAACGTTTCTACCCGCAAAGAGAAAATCAACCTTAAATAATAGTATTTCTTGTTATTTAACATAAAGACCACGGTCAAATGAAAAGAACATTTGTCATTTAGCACAAAAGAACATATTTTCTTATACTTTATCTGCAAATGAATTGTGGTAAGGAGGAGGAGGGGACCATTACCTTTTGCTCTATCTATAGTTGGGGTTGATGCACATAAACTCATTCCCACTCACCAAGAAAATTGGTCTCATCGTCTGTTTTCACAATTTAGTTATTTGTATTTCTATAGCTGTGATGGGATCGTGTTTCTTTCTGTGTTGTTTTTAATCTTCAGAATAATTTCATTGGACTTTGTTTTCTCAGGTGATTGGCGCCGCTTGCAAAGACACCACATTTCCTTTTCGGGGCGGTGCTGATAAACATAAAAGGCCAGGAAGCTGGATGGGCTTCAGGCCTTCCAATCGGGACGAGCGCCAAACATCTGCGGCAGACGATCGAAATGTTTATGATTATTACGGCTTAAGTTTTAACACAAGCGCTGAAAAACCGAAACCAAATGACGTGTGACTCTCCTTTATTCCCATTGCACCTGTATTTACCCGTCATTCTCTTTCTTACACCTATATTCATTAATCCTATATCACTTTGATAAATGGCGGTTTCAAGACCACCAATTCGTCATAATTAGACCTTGTATTTTAACTCTTTGGTATAGCTTCTACGCTATAGCTATGGTGAGATGCATTATTTAACCTACTCGAAATAATTCGCGGCGGCGATTTCATTAATTTAGAATGATCTGTGAAAGCTTTTTATCACGGATCGCTGGTCGCTTAAAATGTCCAATAACGTCCGTGCATTGGGAATCAGGCTGCAGCGGAATTATAATAG